AGCCAATGTCTGATAACAGTTATCATGATTATGAATGTCAAGTTTTATGCATTTGCTTGTGTTTCTGTTTTGTTGAAAAATTATATCAATCAGCCGATAGGAATTACTAAGTGCAAGAGGACCACCAACATTTATTACTAAATTATTATCCTCAAAAATCATTAATCTGATTAGTGTGAATGAAATGATATTACTAATTTATTTTAAGTAGTGGACAGTAAAGTTGATTTTCCAGTAATAAAGTTTGGTATGAACAAAATAAAAGACCCCTATGTCCGATTATGAAAAATCCACAACACTGTTCATATAAAATAGACTCTAAACATAGGAAATAAGGCCTATAATGGTGTAAGTGGAGAGTGTTCACCGATGACTCCTGAATCTTGACCGAAATAGACATAAATAAACTGAATTAGACAAAAATTTTAGTATCTACTAGACATTTATTTCAGTTGATCTTACTATCTATCAATTTTGATGACTCTATCTTATATTCATTAAATTGTCACCGTCTCTTCAAATAAATATGACAGCGATAAGGCAATAGGACACAAAATCACACAATTCTAGCATCTCTTACTTCATCCACAACACACTAACTGGCTTATCACTTAAATGCTTCTTGAATGAATATGTCAAATCATATTAAATAAGAATGATGGACATACCTTAAGTCTCCTGACAAGTTCATCTGGACCGAGGTCATCGGTGATTGGACGGCAGCCTTGCGGGTACACTATTTCCGCCATGCTGCCAATCTGAAGTAGGAATAAACAACTAAATTAGTTAAGTAAAAATACACCCTATATCTGCAATCAAAGTCAAAGTCAAAATATTTTATTTCATTTAGACCAGGAAGGCACTTTTGAATGTCAAACAAATATTAAAATATTAAAAATGTCAATCTATTGGTGACACCTCTATTCAAGCTATTTACTCATTCCTAAGTATAGATTCCTAAAGAGAAGAATGTGTAAGAAACTCCATACCCTTACCCTTTTTCAATCAAGTTCACAATACAATTTTTGGTAACATTGATTCGTTGTTTCAATTATGTGAGTACACTGTAACGCCAACATTCTATCAAAGAGTTAAAAAAAGAAAAACCTTGAGATAATAAAATTCATACAGTTTGGAGTTGACCATACTATCTCGACTAAAGAGACATAAAGGCTGATCCCAAAAGTAATAAATGGCATATTCCTGTAATAAACACACTTCTAGATATAACCTAAAGACTTTCAATTTATTATGGTCCATAATAGAGACTGATAAATAAAGATACTTATTTGACATTAATCTAAACATTCCCTTTGTCTAGCAATTTTTCTCTCAAGACTTCAACTAAGTTTGTTCACTCACTTAGTTGTTGTTACTTAAAATAATTCATGTATTTCATCACATTAAACATTTTAAATATCACTTTATCATAAAAGTAAACCCATACAAACAGTTTTTACAAAAGGGCCATTTGAAACAAAGTCACTGAGACCTTAGAAATATGTGAAAACCAGATGAAGGAAAAATACTTTTAGGGAACTTTGCAAGTTAAATTATACCTCCTTTGTAGCAAAAGAGGTAGAAACTTTTCCTCTTAGTTACTCTCCTAGAAGAAACCAAGCTCAACACTTTATATTCTCCCTATAATATCGTTAATCAGTTACAATTTACTTCTATTAACTTTACATTAGTCATGTTCAAATTACCTAACAAATAATTACAGTTAAAATAGACCTGATTAAACCACAATGTTGAATCAAGTTCCTAATAGAATAAAAAACTCATATTTTATCACACTTTATATGGAATAATAATTAAAATTTGATTAATAATTTGATGTAGTTAATCAGATGTGAAATAAGCCCTAAATCTTTAGGTAGGTTGTTACTCAAAAACAAAAACATTGTGTAAGATCAATGTGTAGGAGACCGAATCCTGCACTGTGTACCATTAACATATTGTTATTAAACATTGGATAGTAATTATTAATACATTTTATTAAGGGCCGAGTTTTCAATCATCAGTTAACTTTAACAGTGTTTAGTACGGTAGAATTGTCAAATATTTAAAGTTAATACACAGTTAAAATTTATCTGACATTGGTAAAATCAGCTTTAAGTGCATTTCTGCCTTCAAGGATATAAAAGTGATAAGTTATTTCTACAATACATATCAACAGTAATATTTAGGATTCAATTTGTTGAACACTTTATATTAATTTTAAAGCAGGACACTTCAGTGTAGTAACGAAACAATCAACAAAATCATGTTTCAGTATTGTTTCATTTGACTGTACCAATTGTTGTAATGTTTTCCTCTTGTACTAGTTACTATTTATTGGACTGCGCCTATTTTGTGACCCAAGTACATGTTTATTAAGTTTAACCTATCTTTTGGGTGTAATATCAACAACATTGTCAGCGAGTGACAGCCTACTGCTGGTCTATGAGTCTCCTCTAGATAAGAGGGGTTTGTCTATGTTTGGTTTGTTTATGCAGTCTCCACACTTGGAAGGCAAGCTAGGGATCAGTTTAAAAAATGTAGGATTATCAAAGAGCTGTTCTTTGCTCTAACTATCAAAAGTGTAGGTGGTAGTTATCTAGGCAGGAAACCAGTGCTCAAGAAGCTGGTCTAAAATCTTTGACGACGGATGTCTCTATAAACACTGTCTTTCTATGTGTTCGATCCACACAAAAAGAAATAAAAATGAATAGGAATGTTTATTTGCATTTGTAACTCCCATAGCTTTTGTAACAGCCACATTAAGAATAGAGACAAAATATTCTACCCTGCACTACAAATACAAATAAGATGATTCTAGCCAGCTTTCCTAAGGACAAGCCAGTCCTGAATCCTGTACTGTAAACTACGGAATCTAGGACACCTGTTTGCCAAACTGTTTGAATATCAGCAAACAAGTGTCTGTGATATGATGATGCTTGATATAGGAGAGATAAATAACTTGTTGCACTGACCAATACTATAGGAAGATTGATCAGGCTTAATAAGTAACAAGTTAGTACCTATGCATCACATGGATTACTTAACATAATGTCACACTGTTTTGGTCCTAAATAAGCCGAAATGCACATATATATAATATAACACTAACTTTTGACTAGTAATATTGTGAATCATATGTTATAGGGGTAACCCTATTGATATTTTAACAATTATTTTACACACTATCTTAGTTCAATAGAATATGAAATAATTATGCTGTTATAAAACCTATATGTTCATCAAAGAAAATATGTCAATTCTGTAATTCAGTGCATTTTTAGAATCTCAAAGGATAGGAAAAGGCTAGTTATGTGTAAATGGAACAAAAACCAGTTTTAACTATAAACATCAAACAATACAATACATTTACTACTTTTCTAAGTGATATTCTCATTAGTAAAGGAATAGGAATAATAATACAACACTGCAACTAGGTATTAACTCGGTAATAAAAGTTGCATACATTTAAATTAAAATAATGGACTATTTGCTTAGTGACTAAATGATCATAATAAGCACTATCACAGTTCTCTACAACATCACCAACATATCAAGTTTGTTGTAAACCCTCTGAACATTATCAACTCATCCCGTCAACATAAATTCAAGCCCAATTGTATTAAGATAGCATTTTCACACAAAATCCCTATTATTTTCATGTTTTCTACATATAGAGCCCTAAGACCACTGAAAGTGAGGCATTTAAACTGTTAACAACATAAGTTTTGCACTGAAAGTAGGTCAAGGCATTGAAATAGGGATAATGCACACCAGATGATCAGATTTACTGTGAAGAGATATGGAAAGATCTAGAATATGGGTTTCATATCCTAGCTCTTTGTGCAATAATCATAAATACAAAGTACCAAATGGAATTTCAGCCGAGGCATAGAGAAACATTGATGTTCCAATACTGTTTACCTGGCGAGCGTCGTGACATATTGGAACAAAGTGGTCATCACCAGTATGTGCATTCAGCAAACATTTTTAGCAATAAACAATAACCTATACCTGAATCCTCTTATCTGTACTTGACCTAACATGAGGCTGGCAGCTTATCACGCAAATCTTTATTGATTACGACCGATCGTGAAAAATAAAAAACCTCGTCCTCAAAACAACATCACTGATGATGTTTAGAAACATAAAACATGACGTGTCGATCAAATTCAGTCATAACTCACCGTTTTCTCACATAAATATCATAGCAAACGTGATATTTATCCTACCCTGTTGCTGGGCTCGTGGTTTAAACAACAATCAAATTATGCTAGATTATGGCAGACCCAGTTTTTACGACCAAGCAAACAATACAAACTTAAGAGGTTAATCCACCTTTACTGCACCAAATTACACCAAAATATACCGAATCTGCATCTTGATTACACATAAACAGAGAAGTAAAAACTATAATGGCTAGAATACGTACAAGAATTCATAGACGTGGGCCTGCGTTCACGTCCTGATGTTTACAAAATCCACCACAATATTTCAAGTCAAACAAACTGTTCACTGTTATAGCATAATTGTTTCATGAACACGACACTGGAAAGTAAATCATAAGGGTTGAAAAATGTCCTATTGATCTAAATACATAGAAAAATCGTGCTAATAATTTTTTTATCAATCTATGTGGACGCCAAACTGCGGGAAAAACTACAGCGAAGTTGGCATCATATCGCTCGCAATTCAAGGCCGTCTATAATCTATGACATTTTTCCTAAATTGTCTATGCATTACACGCGTTTTTAGTTATGGTATTTGTCTATGGTTATTTAATATTCGATTTTTTTATACTGTGTACAATCGAACACTAAAGTTTTTTGCATAAATGTATTTGTTAACTTTTTTATTAAAATGAAATAGCGTCCGTACTCAATTAATAAAAAAAGGTAGAATTTATTTTGACTACCTAAATAAATTACTTGCAGGGAAAGGAGGAATAGGGTTGTGTTGTGTTTTTGTATTTATATTATTTGAAAAATAAAAAAGGTGACTTGTTGTCATTGACTTTATTAATTAAATCTTAAAATATTATGTACCCACAATACTTCGGATGACTCACAAAACCGATGATGATAATCAATAACAATAATATTCATTACAAAAAAGCGCTGTTAAAAAGTGGTCCTTTTAAATTACTAAATGGGGTTAATTTAATGCAGCAGTCAGTTTGTCATTTTGGCAGTTATCTTAAATATACGAGAAATCTAATCGTTATTAAGTTACACACATTGCAACTGAATACAATGACAATATTTTTCAGAACCTTCCGTAAAGAATGGTAACGTGACACCACCGACGGCTGCCACAAGCTCTCTATAATAGTCACTAAAATAAAATAAATGTAGGCTTAGAAAATTAATTAAAGTGCAAACTGCCATAAAATGTAATCTTTAAAATATACAACTTTGAAAGCAATTATTTTTACGTTTTTATAAATATTTCTTTCATATAATCTTATAACAGTGAATGAGATCTATTTGCATATATGATTATTTTATTGCGTAATTATATTGAATAATGTGTTACTAACAATAGCCATCACAAAATGATTATTGAACTAAAATTAAATATAATCCCTAGTATAATTACTCTGAAAACGAAGCAAGATTTGAAGAAGTATATGTTAACTATAAGTGGAATAATAACCTCCTCCTTTTTTGAAGTCGGTTAAAAATATGTCTACGCTTTTCGTCCCGCTCAAAAAACTTTCAATGAAAGAGTTTCACTTTAAACACAATAATCAATAACAATAAAATGTTTCTTAGACTCATAATTAGCGTCATTTTACAACAACAATCTTAATCTAATTCAAGTTTCCTGAAAGATCCTGCCGTTGAATGTATGTCTTGAGTTAGATCATTCTTCTCTAATGCGTGTAAATCTACTGACATATCATCTAAAGCTAGCAAAGCTTCTCTGTGTTTCAGAAGGTTGCGTTTTAGTTCTTCAATCATGTCTTTGAGAGGCACAGTACCACCGTATTCTTTGGGCAAGACCGATGGATCAACATGCTTCATCAAATCTTCACTGGTTCTGTGGAACTGTGAACAGAAATAGATATGCATTACATTTTCTACAAAGGTAAACTACAACTTAATATTAAATATTTTTCTTTTCTGTATGAAACTGTAACCCTACAAGGTTTATAAAAACTTTGATAAAACAGATTGTGTAATTGCAAAAACATTACGTAATTTTCCAAATAAATGATATTACAAAAACCAACATTTATCATATCAGCTTACGTACACATTTGCATTGAATTGTGATTTGTGATATTCAAATGACGAGAAACTTATTTAAAAATATTAAAGTCATCAACGAGCCAGAGTTTTAAATTTTATTCTGGTAATTTCCTGAGCTAATTAGAAAACACAATTATTAATTAAAATCAACATTGACATTTTTTATTTTTACGCAAATACGCTTTTGAGCTTTGAAAAGCTGTTGACTGTACTAATACATTGGAAAAAGTTTATGATTTTCACTATGGCCTATTTAGTGTTGCAAGTTCAAATAAATTTAAATTACACTTTTTTATTAAAATCACCGAACTGAAGTTCGCTAGTATTGAATTGCATTATTTCAAACCTTCTCTATGATGGCTTTATTTTTTTTTATGTAAGTAGTTTATGCGGTTGAGGTGCCCATGATTTTGTAAATATATTATTCCAGTAGATAAATAATAAAAATTACCATCACACGGTCCTTCAGTTTATCACTGAGCAAAGAGACGGCGAACTCGAAGAACTTAACTCCGTAGTGTGGAATGTTTACGAAGTGGGTACGCTTATGCCTCATTGGGGTTGAATTCTGGAATAGAAAAAATAACACAAGGCTTTACAATAATTTTATTTGTAAATATGTAATCTAAAAACATATATACACGCAACAGGTTTTTATTGTTGTATACGGGAATCGAACCAGCAACAAACAAGGGCTTATATCGCAAAGGCGTAGCAACCGGTTGCCCAACCGATCTCCAATCAATGAGGCCTGTTTTGTCCGACGATGTTAGACGATAGTCCTATTTCAGGACACAGAATCTTCAGGTTCATACTGTTTTAAAGATCTAAAAATCAATTAAAAACCTCACCTGAATACAGTTCAGCATAACCCTGACGTCAGTGAGAGACCACAGACTAACATGGGGCATCTGCATACCAGCCTCGTCATTGACGTGGGTGTAACCTAGCACTTGAGACCGTGGCTCGTCCAGCAACAGTTCCACGATCATAGAGTGGACGCGGGCCATTACGCAGTTGTCGAACTGATGAGGATCGAAGCGACCTGGTGAGGAAAAGAGGATATTTAAAGCCAAACTCTAGTACCCCAGATCAGATTCAGCAAAATAGGAATAATCGTATATAGAACACCACGATCGGTAACGCATTTGTAACTCCTAGTGTTACGGATGTCCATGAGCAAAGCTGATTATTTGCCATAGATATTGCTTTGGTGATTCGTCTGCTCGATTGCCCACATATGAACCAACCTCAATAAAATGAGAATTGCGACAAAATAATGTCATCAATTACTTGTTTTTCGAATAAAAACGTTTCCTACTATAGCAAAAATAAAGCATTTTCGATTCTTACAAAAAAATACCTTCGTAAACTTACCCATACAAGACAGAACAACTCGCCTGCCTTCAGCATCTCTTTTAGGCAAGGGTACCAAGTATCCAGCGTCAATTACAGCAGCGATCTTAGGGTCCAGAGGGTCTAGTTTCTTGAACCATTGAGGATACATCTCTCGGATGGTGAGGTATCTCTCCAGCATGGAACACGCTTGCGGGATTGAGTACTTCTTTGTTCGGAGAAAACGGAGGAGGAATGGTGTGTCTGGAAAAAAAATTTGGTGGTTTAAGTCCGCTGAAATTCTAATATAGAATGAAATGTCAGGGTCTTGGTAAGGTACTGCAAGCACGGGCCTCGAATCTTTTCCGACACCCCTTGCCCGGCAGTCGCACTTGCAACCACTCGGCCAACGAGGCAGTATTACACTATATTATTATTATTATATTGCGTTGCCCTATGCTATTGTGAACGTAATATGTCGGAAGACCTTCGAAAACTAGAGCTAATTCAGTCCAGTATCGTGTTTTAAAGAGGAAATTCTAAAGGATTAAATGAAAAATATGAAGAAAATGAAACCCAAATACCTAGCCAAGATAAGACTAACGTACTACTACTGTGGTACTACCAAGCAACTTTGTCATACGTTCTACTTTTAACATTATTGTCACTATAATCATTGTGCATTCGAGAGTTGCACTTAAAGGGCTACGCGATGAAGTAACGGACACAGTATTTGCATACGATGTGACCTGAATCTCAAACGAGCAAGGCAATCTTTACCTTAACCTCTTTAAATTTTGGCTCAAAATTTCTTAAAGATAACCAAGAATAAGTTTCGAAGCACTGGATTATTTTAAGTTCAGAGGATATCCACCCGTTTGCTAGCATAATAGGGGTGTAAATTAGTTAGAATGTTTACCGAGCTGCATGCCGTCATTGTCTTGAAACTGTGTATTTTTTTTATTTTAAAATGAACCTTTTATGAAGCTGGTTTTAGATGCTGCACTAGACACAAATCAAGAATAAATAAAGATGAGATTGAAAAAGAAACAATCTATTCTGTGACTCGCCGTCCGACCAGAACCAGGCCCGAGCGTACGGATGGGGACCAACCGGGCTGATGCCGATACGGAGCCGCGAAAGACTTAACGGGTTGCCAGGGCTCCGGCTTGAAGTGCAGGAGTAGGAAAGGGGTGGTTTTTTTTAGCCAGACTATTCTGTAAGATGTCAATTGGAACTCTCGAAGTGAGCTCGATCGTATTCTCGCCCTTGATTGTTCGAGATTATTCTTACAACCAATGACATGGACTCTTGGTGGAACGCGGTCGAGTTCACTTAGATCTTTACAGATCGAAGTTACAGAATACCCTAGCAGAGCAGGATTGGGCATCAGCGGGATTCTTAAGTCTAGATCTACATACCTAATAAATAGGTAACTTCTTACCAGTTCTACACTTCTTGATAGCTGGATGTTTCTCTATAAAGTGTCTCATTTGTTCTAAAGCCTGTTCCCTAAGCGCTGGTTCCTCTCTCAGTTCAGTCCTGGCTTTTTCCCTCAGTTCTGCGGGCAGTTCACCGGTTTCCCGTTCTTTAGCCTCGAGTAAATACGTTCGGTCATCATCGGTTAACCTCGGCGCATCGATGACCTCGTGTTTTGGTTCGTGCTCCCTTCGGCAATCTTCGGGCTGGAGGACTGAGGTCGCCATTTTGATTTATCTGTAACAAAACAATAGAATTAATTAGCTATTTATCGGTAGATACCTACTTATTGAATTGATTTATTCATGAAGCTACAAGAATGAAGAAATTTTTAAGTCCTTTTGTCCGAAGTTCAAAGGGTTTTATGTGGGGTCGTCGTCCCGGTAAATTCTCGTTATATTTTATTTTATAAATTTTTTGTAGTGAACATTATAATTAATCTTTTTTATACGTCTCTGTAAAAATATCCTATTCCCAATGTATGTGCAAACCAAATATTGGTCGACCTTCAAGTTTCCTCAGAGCGTGAGATGTGTTGTGTGTGTAGGAACGTTTGTTCAGACACGCAAATGTAAAGATTAGCTAATTAACTACTTATGTACCATAGTAGGTACATATCTACATGCGTAATGAATGATGAACCTACTTATGTATAATGTAGGACGTTTAAAATGTTCATAAATCACCTACAGTTAATTATAATTAGGTATAAATATAACTCTAGTTATAGACATCTAAAATGCAGTAATAAAATTAACGTTAATTCAGGATAATTGCTCTTAAGGTGCATAAATAATACTTACTTAGGTATTTTTTTTATGGAATAAGCCGGTAAATAAGGATACCCGAAACACCAGAAGGGTTACAATTACAAGTGCGTTACAGGCTTAGGAATTTGAAGATTTGTATTTTACATATTAATATAATTTTATGTTCTTTTTAGTTGATAGGTAAATATTAAACACATTATAATAAGTCAAAACTTTAACGACATTGCGACATTGGATCCAATGTTATATTCAGAATACGAGCGAGTGTGTAGGTAATTATTTTGTACCTTATTGAGTAAGTGATTGTCAATAATTTGCAGTTGTCGGCCAAGGCTTTGTAATTTTATATCGGTAGGCTTGTTGTTGCTATACCTCTATAGCTACATTAACATTAGTCAACAATAAACATTTTTGGAAACATAAGTAAAGTAGCAAGGAAACAGGCCAGGAAACATAGGCATTGTTTTTAGTCTTAGCTGAAGAGTATGTTTGTTTGTATGAACGCGCTTATCTCAGAACCTACTCACGTCTAGTCCCTGGGGGCACGGTGGGGTAGTGCACACCGCCAAGTCGAACTAAGTGAAAAGACTTTATTTTTTTTTTACTTTTACCCTTTAGGTACCTACCATGAAATTATTATTTTATATTTATTAGTACGTATTGTTATTTTTTTTTTAATTCTAATCACCACCAAAAAATAAATTACCGAAAATACAAAACTCGAAAGCAAGTCACATAGGTACTTAAATTAAATATCAAACATTAACATAGTCTAAAACTGGCTTCGATTCATTCAACTGGATTTTTATTTACATTACTTAACCGACGTAACAGCAATAATAATTACTATACTAGTGCACTTGACTTTAATATAATTCGGGTCTTACTTGTTCTACATTCCTAGTTTTCAATACGAATGTGATTCGACTGAATAGTTTAGAATTAAGCATTCAGTTCAAATTGACGTGAGAAGCTTACTAAACTTACAAACAAGAATATTGTATGTAGGTCTGTATGTACAGAGACCAAAGTTCATGAAGTTCTCGCCTCTCTTTTAACTGAGTTCCAACTTTATCGAAACATAAAATAAGGTTGAAAATCATTACCATCAATCTTAGATGCATACACATCATTATGCTACTCCAAACTGATCAATTTTGTCAAATCATTTACAATCTTCTTCATTTTGTGATTAAGTTGAAAATCGATGTAAAGAGTATTTATAGTTCAGTATACATCGATGTGCTGTTGTCAGTAGCTACTAGTATACATACAAATAACATTTAATGAGAACAATATGAAACCGAGTGAGGTTTTGTTTCGGTTAAACATGTATAATAACATTTGATCACCACATGGTGAGTTTAATCTTGCATGGACGATGGCCTACTGCTTTTAAAAATGCTATGCTACTGTATCTATTAGTTTAGTTATCGGATTAGACAGTCGATCTTCAAAGGCCCTCTGGCTCAATTTTACGCTGCAATGGACAATCTATGTTAAATCCTAAAATCTTTTCGATCGAATTTTTAAAACCAATGTCATAAATCTACCTTAACTTAAAGATTTTGATTTGTGGACGGTTATTGTCTTCAGCCATTAAAAGATTGTTAGACGGTTGAGAATAAGGTGTTTTAATAAAGTCTAAATTAAGGCGTTTTCTCACGCTTATTTCGCTAAACAACTAGGTAATTCGCAAAAAAATCTGTTCCAAAAGAGAAAGTGAAAGTTTCTTTCAAATAAAAGTCTTAAAATGGAAAATTAGTCATAATGAAGCATGTCATATTGCTGTGAACTAGGTAGTGTACCTAAATAGGAAAATAAAAACCTTAAAATTTGCAGACCATGGGAAACATACTGAAAATAATTAATTTAAAACGACTCACTCTTAATATTATACTTTCCCCGCTAAATAACACTACTCTACAAAAGAACTTCCATTCTGAAGATTCTGATATTAAAAGAATTACGACAAATTACGCAAATATCCATTAAGAATGAATTGTTGATTTTGCGCGTAACCATGACCCATAATTGGGTTCATTCCAGACACTGAGCACCTCTAGGCAAACAGGCATCCTATGACACTAAACATCTATTTTTAATTGCATACAAAGCTTAACTACAAAATCATCCGTGGTCCGTGATCGACGACCAGCGCCAGCATCAAAATATGTTTAGCATTTTAGGCGTGAAAACGTAACAAACAGACTCACACAACATTGGTATGTATCAATACCTATTCTATGGTTAGATTTATAAGCAAAAATATCGTCTATCTATTCTAATTTCTAATTCGGCGGCCGTCATCGCTGACCTTCAAACTGGTTCGCCAAAACTCAAACTTTCACTGACCACTTTCCCCTTTAAGTCTATTACGATGTGATAGTGTTTTATTACAAAAATGGGAACATGATTTTGTCGAAACTGTTGCTCTCGGTTAAAATTATAGTCATTTTTATGGTTAAGTAGATAGGTGACTAGGTGGACCAAGTAGGTATAATTTTGGACCCTCCCTACTAATTTTGGTTCGATTTCAACCTTGAGGAGATTATAGTAGAAAATAAAATATTGGGGCTGCCAATATTAAAATTAGATATCATAAATCAACATATAACTGTAGCTAAAAGTATAACATAGATAATTTTAGACGAAAATATTTAATTACCGCCCGTACTGGTCATAGAGTGTAAATTCTTGGCCAGTCATGTTTGAAAAATAGAATGACGTAAGAACATCCACACTGGTCACATCATTACATCAGAGACCTGAATTTGGTCAGTTAAGGTGCTTGACATTGCCTCTACATTTGGCGGCACGACCCCGGCCTACAAACGATGCCATTGCTCCGTTAGTACGCGCAATCCAACGTCAAAGCCAATTAAACGCAGCAATGGACTTCATAAGGGTCCACGCAAACCAGCTGCAGATTGCTTCACGTCTCTTTTAAGCGATGTCGCATCAGTTTTGTTGCAATACACTGATTTCAACAGAAACCAAGACAGTCGTTTAGTTGCAACATGCTATTTAAAAGTTAACTACATTTTTTTAAACATCGTCGAAAAGAGTTCGCACGTAATTGTTTTTTGCGCGGACAACATCGTAACGGGCTGTCAAATTGCAAATCAGTAGGGTAAAAGACACTATTATCGTCCATAACTTAGAGTACATTTCCATGTCTGTATCCAGAGATACAAAGCGCTGTTTGATATGCCAGTGACTGTTGTATCGTTATTATCAATAAACCCATTTGGAGTCGACAAACGTATCGAGTACCTACCTATTCATGTCTAACGTTATTGTTTTAAAATTCTAAGGCTAGTTTAGACTGTATACTCTTTTGTTTACGGTTTATTTTGCTTTGTTCTCGTTTTATAGACTGTACGAGGTAGACTTATAAAAGACATGGCAATGTACTTAGCTGTGATCATGGGATAAGAGTTTCCTGCCGTTTGTTTTAAGTTTATTTTGTATATTTTACGCTTTAAGAAAATGTTACACGTAATAATGCGTTCTTTTAATCATAGCTTTACTTCAGAACATTACTATGATACTACTACCGAATATTTTAACCAAATTATGGAGTGTTTCAAGATTTTATCACGTATCCGAGTGGCTAGTTACTTAATCTTCCACGTCCATTAGAATAATTTGACGATACGCAACAGATACCACGCTGATATGATCAAAGAATTTCTATTTAATTCATAAAGCTTTATAAATAAATTAAGCTGCTATTCGTAATTGCTTACAATTCCAGAGTAGAGAACAGTGTTACCACTAGAATAAAAGACAAAGCAACGCTCCCTATTAAAATTAATATTGTTATCATAAATTTAAAATTAATTGACCGCTTCAATGGACGTTGGTATAGGGCCTAACTAACCAGGTGAAGCGGAGAATTGACGAAGCACTTTACTATACTTGTCCATCAATTTAACTCGTCGAGTACCGGTTTTGTAGACACAATTATAGAACAATAGGTTGCGGTCACCGGTGACCGCTTGGTGTTTGACAGTTTAAAAAAGATACTAAACAGAAAATAATATAAATCGCTAGTATGTATTATAATCTTGACCCCGAATGGGTCATATGGGATATTATTTACAAAAAACCAAGTGTAAAATCAATTTTGTTTGCTCAACTTATATCATCGACAAAACCTAAGTAAACGTTCAAACCACATTCTTAGCTAACTAAACAATAATTACTATACCAGTATTAATTTTCACATGTCTACTGACTTGATATTACATGTACGATAATTGTTTTAAATTCTCGTTATTCTAGGTCAACGCAATGTGAATTATTAATTATCCAAGTTTTTAATAAGTCGAAATCATGCGAAGAGGTCTACACGCAATATTACTTAAGTAGGTACCTTCATCATTACGTATCTACGTATCACGTTTTACGTACAATTTGTTACTATGCATACCTAATAAAATGTGTGAAAATGGAGCTTCG